CACACACCCACACACACACACACACACACACACACACACACACACACACACACACACACACACACACACACACACACACACACACACACACACACACACAGACACACACACACACCGACGTTCTCTTGTTTGCTCTTCCTCTCCCCGTCTTCAGTCATTCTCTTCTTGTCACCAAATCTTTCTGTCTCCTCTCCGCCCACGCCTCTCTCCTCTCTCCTTCCTGTCGGTTTGTTTTTCTTCTCCTCTCTACCCCTTGTCATTTTTATTTTTTGCTGCGATCTCACAGTTTCCCTCTGCACTCACCTTATTTTTTAACATCCAGTCTCTTCCACTTCCACTTTTATCCAAAGCCTCTCTTTATATGATAATACACTGCCTCGGCCATTTTGAACTACATGGCCCTATTTATTACGACATAACATGTCTTCATCTTCTATAGAACATGCATAATTCAATGGAGGCTTTCATGCGGAGTGTATACAGTTATACAACAAATAATTAGATTCCTAGCTAGCATATATAGCGTAGGTGGTCCCAGTGGGAATTGAACCCCTGGCCATGGCATAATGTTCACGCCCTTCGTTGCCACCGATTATATTTCATCGACCCATTTGCTGACTGTTAAAGCTCGTTAATGCCATGACTGTCACCTCCTCCTGCCCCGCCTCCTGTCTGTTCCACCTGCCAATCAAACTAGTCTTATTCCTAGACTCTGATGTGATGAGCTGACAGGGGGAGAGAGGGAAGGGGGTTGACAGGAGAGCAGAGAGGAAGGAAAAGGAGGAGGGATGGGGAGTATAGGGTGTGAGGAGAGATAGAGTTATAGGTAAGGATTGGGAGAGGAAGAGGAGGAGGAGGGTGAGGAGGCATCGTGTCAAGACGGAGGGGAAGAGAACGAGCCGTGAGTGACATAGCCGCGGAGAGATATCTGATGATGGAGGGATGGAGGGAGGCAGGGAGGGGAGGACAGGGGGTGGAGGAGGGACGAGAATGGATCGATCGGGCTGCCTGGCTGAAGGTTCATCTATAATGCAGAAAGGCCAGGGGAAAGAGTGTATTTGTGTGGGCAGGATTTAAGACGGGGGTTGCAGTTTGCTTCTGTGCTTGTGCCTATCAGGAACATTGTGTACACAGTGTATCAGTGAACACGCCACAGCTTGTACGAGCACATTTCTTGGCTAAATGTCATGTTTGCACCATGAGAAAGTGCCAGTGATTGGTTGGTGTGCTGCTACCTGAGCCTGTATGTTTATTGATTTGTTTGTCTTCTGTTCTATTTGACATCCTTTCACTTCCAATGCGTTTTACATACGGGCTACTATAAACGCTGGTCTAAAATGCTTCTGAAATCTCTGAAAACTCTCACCTGCCCTGGAAAAAAGCATCCTCTTGCCTGCCTCTTTTTATTAGAGTCCTGTCTCGCATGCTTGATTCCATACAACGGCCCCAAACACTTACATTAGGAGAAACGCGCTGCACTTTCAAAAAGGATGTAGATTTAAAAACACATGCAAATCAAGAAACATCTTCACTAACTTGACAAAACAAGCACACTTAAGTTAACTTAAATAACCGCAAATACAAAACGCTGCAAGAAGCTCAAAACACAGCAGAAACGGGGACACTAAAAAGTGACGCACACATCTAGGACCAGAGCGCTTGTTAACGTTTTTTTTTTTTTTTTTTAAAGTTGCCCAACTGTCACTGTTGGCAGTGTGAGTCCGTTCATAATATTAAAGGTGGGGTAGGTAAGTTTGAGAAACCGGCTCGAGATACACTTTTTGTTATATTCCATGGAATGCTCTTAACATCCCGATAGCAATGAATATCTGAAGTGCTTTGACAATAAATCCATAAAAAAATATCATCTGTGGAAGCCGTGGCGCTGTAAAAAGCACGACCAATCATCTGAGCCGGCCCGGCTAAAGTAACTGGATGGCCTACCTGCCTGTCAGCCTTCCATCTGTGCACAAACTTATCTCGTGCCCTCATTGGTCATGTGGGCGTTCGTGTGTGTTGGAGGAGGGGCTCTGGAAGGAAGTGGCAGATTTTTTCCGGCTGTGTATTTTCAAATTCTAGCGCACTCGAGCTGGTTTCTCCAAAATTACCTACCCCACCTTTAAGTGTTCTGTCAGTATATTTGAAATGACTAGGTTGGCTACGTTAGCTATCTAGCTTACAGCAGAGCTACAATGATATTGGAAGGAATCATGCGATCACCGATAAAACTTACATTTTAGTAATGTTTCCAGTGACAGTGACAGTTGGCCAACTTTGTAATCCCCGAACATCAACAAGGGTCCCAGCTGTGTGCGTCACTTTTTAGTGTCCCCGTTTCAGTTGTGTTTTGAGCTTCTTGCAGCGTCTTTGTATTCACAGCGTTTCATCTACAGAGAGCTTTTAATAAACCCTGCGAATGTTTCGTCAAGTTGGTGAATGTTTTCGAAGTGTGTTGTGAAGTGGGTGAAGATTTTCATTTTTTCATTTCATTTTGATTTGTTCCGTTCATGGTATGCAAAACTTAATGTATAATAATTGTTAACAAAACGTGTCTCTGTAAACACACCATTGACCGAAAAGCAGCAGGGAGAAGAAAATAATCTTATATTACCGGCCCCTGATTTTTTATTTGCATCGTTTTTGAAAACTGCAGCGTTTCTCCAAATGTAAGTGTTTTGGGACATTAACATGTTTGCCACTGTCGGCTACCACACTTTAATAATCGAAAACAGGCCAGGTTTCCACGTTAGATTAAATAAGCATAAACTGTAAATGAATGACAGCCTCCTAGGTAATTGACAAGACATAAGAATATTATATTAGGAACTCACACCAAGTTCAAGTCTTGTAAGTGAGAGAGCACATTATTACTGGCCGAGAAGAGACTATAAAAAGAATATGAGCACTCTCACAAAGACAGTACATAAACCCCTCAATTAAGTGGCCATCTAGGAACTGTCCTCACCAGAATGTAATGAATGCTCAAATACTTAAAGAAAGCGACCTTGTGTGATCCTGGGAATAAGCAAATGTGGCAGTGACATGATGTTATAGCAGCTCAAACAGTGTCTGACCTTGACACCAAACGCAGTGGCATCCCTCTAGTCTAGAGGAAGCCCCTCCTAAGAGCTCGTACTTCTGTCAAATGTGAGCATTACTCAAACTCTTACTTAATTCCCTATTTACTGGCACAGGGAATAAAGCCTAGAGGATGGAAGTATGATGAAAACGGTGTGCAAATGTTCTGTTTTGTAATTACATATTGTTATCTTGATATTAAATTATTAAAAGCAGTATTTTATATTTTTTACGCAGCTATTTTGAAGCTATTTTAAACTCACTGATAATTGGCAGTTGTTAAGTGGCTGTGTTTCAATCAGTGTAATTGTGTGCTTACTTGCAGAATCAGACTTGTGTTAGTTTGTGTGTGTGCTTTGTGTGTGCTTTGTGTGTGTGTGTGTGTGTGTGTGTGTGTGTGTGTGTGTGTGTGTGTGTGTGTGTGTGTGTGTGTGTGTGTGTGTGTGTGTGTGTGTGTGTGCTTTGTGGATTTGTATGTGTGTGTGTGAGAGAGTGTCTCTTACTCAGGGTTGCCGTTGCCCAAACACTGGAGATAAAACTTCTCTCCCTCTCTGGGGAGATTGCTCTCAGGCAGGATCTGCACGTCTGGGGAATCTGTTCGAGTAGGGAAAAACACAAACACAAACACAAACACACACACAGGTTGTAGTTACATAACACAGGGTTCAAAACCGTGCTGACAGTAGCGACAGTCTCATTCATCCCCGTCTCATATCTACTCCCATCTGCATCATGTAGGCGTCACCATCTCTCTGCCTCCCACCATGACATAACCCTTACACAACGACATCACTTTCCCTGGGTGGTGCAGTGTCGGGGTCTCGCCCACAGGGGGGCAGCACCGAGCCTGCTCCATTTATAGTTTCATTTCAGATGATATCCTGTAGTGATGGGAATTACAGCTCTTGCCGTTCAAAAGAGCTGTTTCTTTTTTAAGGGGGCGGGGTGTTACGGAAATCTTAGACCTAGTCAATACTGTGGAGATATACAATTTAGAACGATCAATCAATAAACTGGTGAAACAAACAGAGTTGTCTTTCTGGTTCTTTATTCGAGGCCTCGAAGGTACAGGTCTCACAGAGTACAGAGTATTCTGGAAGAGTGCACACAGAGGCAAGTGTGTGTGTAGGTTTTATAGGATCTTGACAGTTCAACAACACTTCGTCACCTTTCACTGTGGCAGGGCTGGATGGAGAGATAAGCTATGCCTGCTTTCCAGAGGAACAGAAACTGTACATTGCTAATATAGTAAATCAGGAACTGGTTAAAGACAGTTAGAAGCGAGGAAAGCAGGAACTCATTGTGGAACAGGGAACAAACACAGGGACTTGTTCAGGACACTGTGTTTGTCACCCAGATACTCTTAAGGTTAATCATAAGTCTAGCAAAGGATATGAACTACTGAAATACATCATCATGGAACTACTGCATTTGGTTTTACCATATTAGGTAACATATCAAATGTGCCACTACAGGGGCTAATAGGTTTATCTGCTAAATAATCACCAGGATAATGATGACTGCCAGAATCTACTTTTACTCACAGAAAATGCATAACTTGCTACATCTCTCAGCCAAAGTACTACTCAAGCAGCGTTATGCCATCATCTACGGCTAATGTGCATTCAGGAAAGCAAGTTGCTTTAAAGGCGAGTGGATTTATGGCAGGCAGTGAACCGACGATAAAAAGAACGGCCCTCACCAAGTACGACTCGGTTTCCTTTGTTCGTACCAAAGAGCCGTTCAAAAGACTCTGATCGTTCGCGAACGTCACATCTCTAATAACCTGCTCTCCTACTCTGGGCCTCAGCAGAGGAAGGTTAAATTCCTGCGTGGCCATTATTACAGGAAGCTAATGTGAAATTGTTGGAGCAGAGATCAAACTGCAAAGGGGGGGAAACTGATTCTACGGCCTAATAAATGAAAAGAGCAGGGCAGAAATAAAAGTGGAATGGAAATGGAGGATTCAAATGGAAATCCTGTTTAATAGTCAGGCTTGGAGAGTGAGGGATTACATGTAATGGGATTCAGAATCAGAATACAAAGGGAAGGTACAGTTACATTAAAAAATATCAGATTACTGTTACATTCCAAAAAAAATTGGATTACTTTTAGGACTAAAAACCGATCAGTTGGAGGACTCTCTCACATCAGTCTCTCCTCCACTCCCCCCCTCTTTCCATCCTCTGTATCTCTGGTTCCTCCCCCACTACTACATCAGCGTATTCCCCAGTTGACTCACACAACACCCGCAGAGTCAGCTGGGTCTTCATGTCTCCGGGGGCCAGAGAGGGATGGTCCACGGCGCAGGTGATGATGTCGTTGTCGTCCACGCGGCTCACCTCCAGGGTGAGCTTGCTGCTCACGTTGGATGTGACTTCATCTGGAACGGACTCCACCAACTCTGTATGTCCTGAGGTGGAAAGAGAGAGAGAGAGAAAAGGCTTTAGTGTCACCGTACAACAATACAAGATCTTTGGAGAGCAACTCTGTCACAGTGCACAGTGAGGAAAACAGACCAGTAGGACAGACAAACGTTAACAATCATAGAGGGAGACCTACATAATTAAGAACAATGGCGTTAAAGCTATAAAGTGCCTTAAAAGTGTATTTAAAGGGTTTTACACTCCATAGACGGGGACAGTCATCTGGATCTTAACCAGGGATACAAGCAGACACACACACACACACTTTATTTTACTCCAGGTTGTGGTGGTTTCTCGTGTACAGAGCTGCAGTGACCCCCATTTGTTCCTGTTAAATGAAAAATGACCTTTCTGTGCGGTTACCTTGTGCCCCCAGGTGTTTTGGTGAGCTATCTCTCATTATATGCCACATGTACAGTTTTTCTAACAGTGCATTCCCTCACACTTTCTGAGCAATGTCGCACCTTTTCCCTCACTAAAGGAATATATATATATCTTTTTTTCTTGCTGACTTATTAAATGGTGTACATTAATGTTTTATCCAGTGAAACGTCATCACATATTCTACAGCCAAGACGACATTTGACTTCATATAAAACAGTAATTGCCTTTAAAGTATCCAGGCCTAGCAGCAGTAATATGGGTATTTGTCTCTGTTTTGCCATAAATGTGTTTAAGTATGATACAACGTTGTCAATTAGGTGATGGACTGAACATAAATCAACATTTGGTATTAATTCACTTGTGTTTCTGAGTAATTAAAGTCTCTCAAATGTGAGCAGTTGCTGCATTTCTCTGATTATCATCGTTGTACTTAGACAATTGTGTTTGGAATTTGAGCTGTCTGTCAGAAGAAAAAAAAAGAATTAATTTGAAGACACAATTTTGGGCTCTTGAAATGATGATGGACGTCTCCCTGTATTTTCTGACATCTTATACCCTAAGCTATTTATCTGTTAATCTAAAAGCGAATCTTGAGACAAATCACTGAGGCAAATAACCGTTAGCTCTACAAGTGTTTGATTTTCTAATAAGGGTTGTAATTGTGGTCTAATTACCAGTTCTGACAGGATAAACATAACAACTCAGTTTTTACTGGTGACCATAGTGCCGCAGAATCACTTTTACCATGAGGAAACATTTGAATGTCAAGGCCACTTCACAGCATCTTCAAAGCTGCAGAAGTCACCATGGCGTGTTGGCAGCTCCAAATGGCAACGAGAGTCAACTGAAACTTTCATTTCCTTTCAGCGCCAGGAACTCCTGTAATGTAACATCAGTGAACTGCAGCTCGCTCATGTTTACTAACCAGGCCGGGCTGTGAAGTCTCCGGCTGAAGGACACCAAAGAGAGGGTGAGAGGCCAGAGATCTAATGTGGCCACGTCCAGCTTTCTTTGGACTTGCTGTTGCTTAGGAGACCGCTTGCATATCCATTACTGAGAAGCAAGCAGTCAGACTTTATTTTCTACAACCTTAACTTCAATCTCTTGTATCTATATTCTGTTATTTGGACTCGTAAAGCTAGTCTGTTTTCATGATGCAAGTAATAATTGTATATTAAGAAATGTCCTTTTGATGTTGTTTTTCCCCCTTTCTTTCCTTTGTGGTACATTTCTGGCAGCAGGATACAAAGAGCTGGGCAGGTGCTGTGGTGTGTCTGTGCAGCAGCAGCAGCAGCAGCAGCAGCAGTGGAGTAGAGTTAGACAAAATATGAAAGCATAAACACAGAGGAGACTGTCATCCGGAGATCGCACTCTATTTTACAAAAAAATACATAAAACGAGGTGGTCAGACCGTGAAAGTGGTTGGTGAATCTTGGAAAGTGGACCAGAACCTTATCACTTCCTCTTGCATCGAGTGACACACATACACTCACACACACACACACACACACACACACACACACACACACACACACACACACACACACACACACACAGAGAGAGGCGTGCACACACAAGCATAGGCACATGTAGGTCAGGCTTATGAATAACATATACACAGAGGAGGCAGAGATAGTGGCAAGGGAGACGATTGGAAAACACACACACACTCTCTCTCAAACACAGATATCTCCCCCCTCCCTCCTCCTCCTCCCCCTCTAGAGAACTCTTCAAATACCACTGAATCTAATGACATCTCCCTTTTCATTACCATAACCAGTCCTCTGACCCCGCTGAGAAAATTAGTTTACTTTCCAGGTGAATTTCAATAATCCTACGCCACTCAAAGGAGTCATTTCGTCACTGTCTGCCTCTCTCGCGATCCCCTCTCCGCACACAAACAAACACCTTATGGCCGTTATTATTATTTTTAAAGACCATGGAAGTCAAACCTTGGAATGAAAAAAAACTCTGTTTGTTTACCCGCTGACTCCCGAGTGCAGTCGTTTTCCGAATCTCACATTGAGTTTTAATATGTTTGTTGTTTTTTTCACAGGCCCAAGGTGTCATGGGAATGACTCGTCACATTCATTAAGGAAAAAAAATAATAAGCAGTCATTTTAAGTGGTTCTTCCCAAGACAGCAATGATGCACATTTGCCTATAATTCACATTTCCTCAGTTCATTATTAGATAATCAGCGTGGATTTGCATGTCAACTGCTGCAAGCGGAGCAACAAGCATAACGGACTGTGAGCAGTTACAGGTTGTGTTACACTGGGTACACACTAACACACTCTTAAAGGGCCAGTTCACAGTTATACAAAAAAAGCTGAATATTTTTTGATTTATGTCCAGTTTTTCAGATATTCATCTGTATATGTTTCTACTGGGGCTGCATCACTTGGAAATAAAGAAGTAATTGCGATTATTTTTACTTCTTTTGAAAATGCAGTATCCCGATTTCAGAGGGAAAGACCCTCTTTAAAATATTCACATGCTGTCATTGAAACATTTATTAAAATGATAGTGCTTTGATTGTTAACAGGGGTGTCAAACTCAATTTCATCGCGGGCCACATCAGCATTATGGTTGCACTCAAAGGGCCGGTTGTAACTTTAAGACTATATAAAAATAAATATATAAATATTTAATATATATATAAAATAATGTATTATATGACATTATTGCCGGATAGGTTAATAACTTCATAATTAACTACGTCTGAAAGCAGAAGTCTAGGGCAAATAATTGCAAGTCTCTTCAGTGAGAATGTTACAAAATGATTTAAAAAGAAAAGCCAAGTTCTGGAGAAAAAATATTTTGAAATAAAAAGTAACAATTTGAAAGAAAAAATGCAAATTCTGAGAAAAAAAACTCTAAATGTGAGATGCAATTGTGGGAGCATAGTAGTTTATGGCAACGGCTTCTATAAGTAGGCAGTAACCGTCATAATAAAACAAAATATATTCTTTGCACGCTCTTGTGGGGCGCACAGAAAATGGAGTCGGCGGGCCGGATGTGGCCCCCGGGCTTGAGTTTGACAGCCCCCTGTTTAAGAGGATCCGTGAACCAAAAAGTTTTTATACAGTGTTATATTGCCTTGGCTGTTAAGGCAGCTTCAAATACTTCATCCAGATATGTTCACGTATTAAGTGTAGCAAGCAGCCTCTACCGTAAACCGCCCCACCCATAGTGGTGCACAAACAGGCAGTTTAGGTTTGTTGATTTTCCCACAGAAAACCAGGCGATGAACCATGTTTGTTTGGCCAGATTGATATCCCTCTGTGAGAAAGAGTTACCTGGTGTTGTTGCTGGAAACAGAGGTGTGCTGTTTTCACTGATATCTGACAGGCAAGCAAACTAAATCCAGTGTCAAAAACCAGAACAAATGCAGCCTTTTGAAATCTGAAAACTGCCCCTAAACTATAATTAAACCCCTCTCATTCAACCCCTAAATCACTCTTTATAGCCTGTGTTTTCTCCGGAGCCACTTGAAGGATTATTTGGCAGGTAAGTGATAGGCTGCAGAGTACTACTCCTGACTTCACCTAAGCTGCTCCGGCGCTCTTCGGGCTGCTTTCAAGCTCATTATCTTTGGTTTCGGCCCACAGGCCTGCAC